CCTGGGGCTGGTGCCCGGGAAGGAGCTTCAGAAAGGGTACCGGCGGCCCCTGGCCCACGCCAAGCCACCCTATTCCTACATCTCACTTATCACCATGGCCATCCAGCAGGCACCGGGGAAGATGCTGACGTTGAGTGAGATCTATCAATGGATCATGGACCTCTTCCCCTACTACCGGGAGAACCAGCAACGCTGGCAGAACTCCATCCGCCACTCGCTGTCCTTCAATGACTGCTTCGTCAAGGTGGCGCGCTCCCCAGACAAGCCGGGCAAGGGCTCCTACTGGGCCCTGCACCCCAGCTCAGGGAACATGTTTGAGAATGGCTGCTACCTGCGCCGTCAGAAGCGCTTCAAGCTGGAGGAGAAGGTGAAGAAAGTGAACAGCGGGACGTCCGCCGCGAGGAACAGCACGGGGTCTACTGCCGCCACCACCACCGCCACCACCACCACCATCACTGTTGCCACCATCGCCTCCCCGCCACCCCAACCCCAGCCTCCGCCCCCCGAGCCTGAGGCCCAGGCTGGAGAAGAAGTGGGGGCTCTGGACTGCGGCTCACCCACTTCCTCCGCACCCTACTTCACTGGCCTGGAGCTCCCGGGGGAACTGAAGCTGGACGCGCCCTACAACTTCAACCACCCTTTCTCCATCAACAACCTGATGTCGGAACAGACACCGGCACCCCCCAAACTGGACGTGGGGTTCGGGGGCTATGGGGCTGAAGGTGGGGAGCCTGGAGCCTACTACCAGAGCCTCTATTCCCGCTCTCTGCTTAACGCATCCTAGCAGGGGAGGTTGCACCACGGTGGGTGGGGTATAGCTATATGACTCACACCATTGGGCTCTCAGGGCCTGACCTTCCTGGTTGACACTTTCCTTGTCCCACCAGTTAACATCCTGGTTGGTCTATTGCTAGCTGTGATGACTGCCATCTCTGAAGGCATCCTGTTGACCCACTGGGTACTATGATAACCACCATTGCCATCTTGGTTGGCTCATTGGGTACTGTGAAGACTACCATGTTGATTGAAGCTATTGGCTGGTCCTTTGGGTGCCGTGATGACCATCTTCTTGGCTGACCTTTTGGGTATGATGATGGTGCTACCATTTCAGTGACATCTGCTCTGTCTGGCCCATTGGGTGTTGTGATCACTTCTCTCTTGGTGGAGTTCTTGGCCGCCATCTTGCATAACATCTCTTTTGGTCCATTGGGGACTATGATGGCTGCCATGTTGGCTGGCTGACATACAGTGGACAGTCATGCACCATGATAGCCAGCTATGTTGTCTATGCCGTTACTGTCTCTTTGGTGTGGGTTGGTTGGAGGACGGAGGTGGGACTACGCCTAGATTTTCTCTGGAGCCCATTCCCTTCCTCCGGTCTAGGAGAAACCAGAAAATGCTGGTTAGGAAGTGGGGAATTTCTACTGAAGTCTGGTCCTTGTCTGGGAAGTGGGATACTGGCTGTGTTTGAACATTAAAGGCACCATTTCCATCTCTTTCTGCATGTCTCTATTCCTTGGTGGATGGGCCCTTGGGGGCTTGAACACCTGAATTGCTGCTCCCCTGGTCCCTCTCCTTCCCGCCCCTAAGAGCTCAGGGGGAGGGGTGGGAGAGGCATCGACCTAACCTTTGGCTCTTTGCTGTCCCTGACCCCAAGGACAGTTTGTTCAAAGATAGCAGCCCCCGCAGTGTGGGGCCAGGGCGGCAGGGGGAGGTGGCTCTGTGGTGACCAAGGCCAAATCCCCACCCCCACCTCCCAGACATACACCTCTAGCTGGTCCCTCTGAGGATCAGGAAGCCTGGGTGTTACTCAGTTTGGGGTTCAACTGGGCAGGGGGAGAAAGGACAGATGAGGTGTTAATCAAAGAACTGGGGACTGTGTGTTGGAATTGATCAGTGTGTTTATATATGGGTGTGATACCGTGTGCTCTGTGTATGTTGTGAGAGTCTCTGTACCCATTGGGGTCCCTGTGGTCTACCACAAGGTATTACCTGTTGTCGGTATCTCTCAACTATGCAGGGAGGACGCCAGTGTCTGGGTGTGTGTGTCTGTTTCATACTCGGTATGGGCTTTTGTGTGTGTCCTGGAATATTACATCTCATGTATCTGTCTTTATTGTTTTGTGTCTGTGGTTCTCTTTGGACACCGATCTCTGGGTCCCTCTTGGGTCTGACAAGTTTAGGTGTGTGTCTCTGTGTCAGTTTGTCTGGACACCACAGCCTCAAAGACTATGTGTGTGACTGCATCCGGGTTGTGGGGCTGCCTGTCATTGTATGTATCTCTGGAAGTCAGTGTGTGTCTATGTGTGTCATCCCTGTGTTTGCTCTGTGTCTGTCACTGTAGAGCTTATGTGTGAGAGTGTGTGGTGGCTTTGCCCACCCTAGAGGGTGTCTGTTTGTCTGGGGGTGGCTGTGGGGAGGGAGCCTTTACGGGAGGGGCCTGGTTGTCTGTCCCCCAGGTCTTCTGAGGGAGTGACTCTCTAGGAAACCTAATTGTGTATTTCACACCTTCATTTCACAATGGAAACTGAAGCCCAGAGCGGGCAGGGGCCAGGCCAGGGTCTTTCAGCCAGGCGGGAGCAGTGGACAGGGTTGGTCTGCTGTTGTTGGCCACGCTGATCCTGTCTCGTAGGTGTACGTTGGGTCGGGGAGATGGGGATCCTGGCTTTTTCTTTCCTTTTCTTGGTCATTGCCTCTCTAGCCACACATTCATTCATTTATTCAGCCAATCACTCATTCATTCAAAGACCAAAGACTGCTTTCCACCTGTGTGTGTGTGCATGTGTGTGATATGTGTGTGGGGTGTTTGTGGTATAGTGTGTGTGTGTGTGTCATTTGGTATGTGTGGTGTGTTTGTAGTGTGTGTGATGTATATAATGTGTCTGTGGTCTGCGTGTGAATGTGGTGTGTGATGTATGTGTGATGTGTGTATGAATGTGTGATGTAGGTGCGATGTGTGGTCTGTGTGATGTATGTGTGATGTACGTGTGATGTGTGGTCTGTGTGAATGCGTATGGTGTGATGTGTGATCTGTGTGTGAATGTGTGGTGTGTGTATGATGTGTGGCCTGTGTGAATGTGTGATGTGTGGTCTCTGTGTGAATGTGTGTGTTGTGTGTGATGTGTATGCTGTCTCTCCCAGTTTCCGTGTGTGATGTATGTGTGATGTGTGGTCTATGTGAAGGTGTGTGCTGTATGTGTGATGTGTGGTCTGTGTGTGAATGTGTGTGATGTGTGTGCTGTCTCTCCCAGTTTCTGTGTGTGATGTATGTGTGATGTGTGGTCTGTGTGAAGGTGTGTGCTGTATGTGTGATGTGTGGTTTGTGTGTGAATGTGTGGTGTGTGTATGATGTGTGGCCTGTGTGATGTGTGGTCTGTGTGGAGGTGTGTGCTGTATGTGTGATGTGTGGTCTGTGTGTG